CTTGCTGTTATTAATTTTCCTTGCCTAGTTCCCTTTTAATTATAATTTTTTAGCACTGTGTGCATGAGATGAATTCTATTAAATACCAAATGATTTCCCACATATCTTAGTTTGGAATCTGTCTCTTTTAATAGACAGAAATTACTTTCCCCCAGAAGTGTGATACAGTAACAATGTCCAGACAGTCAAAATGAATGTCATTGTCCTTCTTCCTTATTGTTGAATAACTAACTACTGATGCTTCTAGTCCCAGGTATAGCTAGGAAGAAATTGATAATGCATAACTGGGAAAGCTTTCTTTCCTGGGTCATGGAGTTGAAGGGTGGGGGTGTGGATCAAGTGTCCTTTTACCTTAAGGATCTGTTAGGATATCCACAAGAAACACAGTTGACATGTTTTCTAAAGAAATGCTTGAAAGATTATTCCTGGTCTGGGATGGCCCATGTATGGTATATATTGTCTTTATGTCTCTAAATATTCTGCAAAAGAGTCTGATATCCATTATACTCTGTGAAGTCATTTTTGTAAAGGAGATCCCAAATGAAATGAATGGCTGGAGCAATGACTTTGGGAAGGTCTAAACCAGTTCTGATGTAATGCTTCTTCCAGGAAAATCCTAGGACTTTGGGGGGTGCTTGTTTCTGGTTCCATTTCAAAATATGACAGCCTTGGCTAGACTTAATCCAAGTGGACATGATTACACAGCCCTGTTCCACATCATTAGTGAGAGTAAATGCCTCCGCCAGAATTCTGCCAACACTGTTTCTAGCCAGACATCCATTAGTAAACATTGCAGTCTTAAAATATTGGTTGGCTTCTGTGGCTTGTCTGCATAATGGAAACTAGGTCCAGATTTTTTAAAGTATCAACATGAATAATCATAGAAATACTGTTCTCTAAGAGATATAGTTAGAAATTTGAGGCATCCAGAGTAGAATTTTGGTAAAGATCTGTTTAATTTCTTATTTTTTTTAATTTAAAATATTCTTAATTGAAAGTAGAAAAATATTTCTGGTTTTGTGATCATGCCAGTTAAGGAGGTAATTCTTAGCTCGAACTTTCCCTTGCTCGGTATGGCTACTTTACATTCTGTATAGAGATGAGCATAATTTGGAACATCCTTCTTCCTCATGAGTAGTTGATCATTCCAAAGTAGGTATTTCTAACAAACTGAGAGGATATAGCTGAAATTCACATTACAGATAATTGTCATATTTTACACATTCTTAAAAATGACAATTCTTTTAGTTAGCATACACTTCACAGTTGAAAAACACACCACCCTCTGTTCTCTCTATTGATCCCTGATGGTCCTATAAGGTGGAAAGGGAAGGCCATATCTGCCTTTTACAAGTGAGAAAACAAGCTCAAAGAAATAAAGAACTTAGCCAAGATCACAAGTACCTTAGACTGCTTTCAAGTTCAGCCTGAAGGTCAGGGATAGTATCTTCTTAGTATTCCTTGTTGAAGAAGGGAAATCTGCCAGTTAGGTGGGAAGGTTCTAGACTCTGTAACCTGCACACAAGTCCTTTGATCTCATCTAGCTCTAGGTCCCCTATGTTTGCTAGAACTCAGTAGTGATAGCTTCCTTTATAACATGTCTAGAATGAAACGAGTTTAACCTTAAAAGATTTACTTAGCACCTGCAAGTAGTAAGAATCACAGCCCTCTCAGAAAGCCAAAGTGCTAAGAAGTTTTTGAGGCTATTTCACAAACCTTGACATGGTTACTTAGATGAACTACATTGCCTTCTCAAATGAAGGACAACAGATACATAGGGATGATAAATTGTAGAGATCACCTTAGAAGCAATGACATCCTTGGTGGGCATTTGTAAGTAAGATATTGAACTGGCTAAGTCTCCTTCCCTGGAAAAGCTCTGTGAACATCCACATGTTCTTTTTTTACATTCATCACAACACCCGCACTGAGAGCTGCCTAGAAAGGAATGATCATCCCATACTACTTATGGAAAAACCATGGGTTCAGAGATCAGTGGACTGATCTAGGTCCCAGAGTGAGTCATTAGGAGAGACTAACCTCAGGGCTTATTTTTTCTTCTTCTTTTTTTTCTTGTTAATTTTTTTTTAAGATTTTATTTATTTATTTGACAGAGAGAGAGAGATCACAATAGGCAGAGAGGCAGGCAAAGGGTGACGGGGAAGCAGGCCCCCCGCTGAGTAGAGATCCCAACGTGGGGCTCGATCCCAGGACCCTGAGATCATGACCCAAGCTGAAGGCAGAGGCTTAACCCACTGAGCCACCCACGTGCCCTAGGGCTTATTTCTTCTTGATGATTTAAATGACTTGCTTCAGTTAATCAGAGAAAAATATTTGGAGAATGAGGACATTTACGGGATGTTTATCAAATATGCATGTAATGAGGATTCAGTGCTATTCCTTACTCTGCTTCTAACTAGTCATGAGATATGGACAAGTCACTTAAACAGGCTGGGCCTCATTATAGTTCCTGGAGAAAGGAAGCAGATCAGGAGTTTTCAAACTTCATTCTTTTTAAAAGAAATTCTTAATGATTTAGACAGTTATTAAAAGTGCATTGTAATGTTAACAAAATTAATTGATAAAATCTGAGATGCATACAATCTACCTCCTGCTTGGTTTTCCCCACCTCCTACAGTATTCCTTGGATACAGTCTTAAAGCTATGATATTATACAATCTGAAAGTTACTTTCTGTTCTAAAATTTAATGTTTTATGATTGGAAGCAACTAGCTTTCAAATCTGCTACCTGCTCCCATCCCCTACGGCATCTTGGGGTATAAAAGAGCTCCAGACTAGAAGTCTGGAGGAGCTGGGTGTGGATCCCTGCTCCACCCACCAATTATCTATGTCACTTTAATCAAGTTGCTTCACCTAAGTTTCTGTCTCCTCATCTATAAAATAGAAATAGTAAGGGCACCTGGGTGGCTAAGTCGATTAAGCGTCCCACTCTTGGTGTCCGCTCAGGTCGTGACCTCAGGGTCATGATCTCAGGGTAGTGAGACTGAGCCCACGTTAGGCTCCTTGCTCAGCACAGAGTCTGCCTAAGACTCTTGTCTTCCTCTCCCTCTATCCCACCCTCTCTCTCAAATAAATAATGTGGAAAAGTAAAATAGAAATAGTAACCTTCCCCAAGAGTGCTTTATAAACTGTAAAGGATTGAATAAATGTACAATGTCGTTAGTATTATCTTCTGTGCACAACACAGAAGGAGGAGATGGTTTTATGTTCAGAATGATGCAGAGGACCAACATGTTGAGCTGTTCTTTGGCAAGCTTGCCTACGAGTAGGGGCGGTATCTATCATATTTGAGCTTCATTTTCTCTGAGAGCTGAAAGCCAAGTCAGTAGACAAAGTGTGGGCTATCGACACAGGAAATAATGAAACCAAGGAGGCATCATTGTTAAGTTTAAAGGGGAGAACTGGGGGTGCCTGGGTGGCACCGTGGGTTAAAGCCTCTGCCTTCAGCTCAGGTCATGATCCCAGGGTCCTGAGATCGAGCCCCACATCGAGCCCCGCATCGGGCTCTCTGCTTAGCTGGGAGCCTGCTTCCTCCTCTCTCTCTCCGCCTGCCTCTCAGCCTACTTGTGATCCCTGTCAGTCAAATTAAAAAATAAATAAAAAAAATAAAGAGGAGAACTGTTCCCATACACTGACCTTGATAACAGTGACCTGGCTACATTCCCCCTCTGCACAAAGCCATGACTCATTAATAATTGCCGTCATTCAACGAGGGCTTACTACATGCTAGACACTGATTTTTACACGAGTTATCTCATTCAGTCTTATCAGAATCCTCTGCAATGATGTTATCCCTATTTTATAGTGACAGACAACCAATAAAATGGGGTATGATTCCTATTTTGTAACTTAGAAAGGCTAAGTAATTTGCTCAGGTTCATATAACTGGCAAGTGGCAGAACCCGAACTCCGAATTCAAAACTCTAAACTGCTTGCTTGACTCTATTATCTCCCAGTTGGAAGAAATGGGTTTTCTCACTCAGCATGAGGGCCAAAAGCCTCTATTCCTCTTTATGTTTGCAGTGCCGGAGTCAGCTCCATCTCTTCATTTTTACTATCGTTTTTATTCCTCCGTTCAAACGTGCTCATTCATCTTCATGAAACTTAAAGCTGGAAAGCCCCTATCAGTCATCGATGTACCCCCCCGCCCCCGCCCATCTCCTGCTGGTCTTCTCTAGCATGTCTTCTGCTCATGAGTTAGGGAATGGAGCCACATCCCTTACCTTGGGGAGTCAGTCCCATAACTAATTCATCTCTGTCAGGAAGATTTTTGTCTTATGCACATCCTCTTCAATTTTGCATTCTGCCCAATTCTTTCTCTCTGTGGGCTGCACACTTCAGCTCTTCAGATCACACTGCTTAAGCCTGCCTAGGTTCTCAGCAGTGATTCTGCTGAGTTGCCTTTTCCCCTCGCACTATGGCCAGAGTATTTTTCTTATTAGCACCTGGAAGATGCTTTCCCCAGTGGACAGAAGCAGAAGCGAGCCGCAGGGGATGCTGGGAAAGAAAGGGAGGAGGAAGAGGAATGAGCACAAGACTTGAAAGCTACTTAGTCAGCAAACCTTGGACCCAGCTCGGCCTGGACATTTAGGTGTCCCCCACCGCAGGCAGCAGAGGCATTTACTGTCCAGCTAGGCATGATTCCATGAGGATGCTGTGCCAGGCTCTAAACTTGTGCCAGCAGTCACAGAAATAAATGGAGTGCATCATCAGAAGAATGTGTGGAGCAGTGGACAGTATGACAGCTTTGGGATTTGAAAAATCTAGTTTAAGTTATTGTTTTACTTTTTACATAGCAATGGGGAAACAATACCTACCTACATTGTTTCTGTAAAGATTCGAGACAATGGCCTGGCATACAGTAGGCATTCAATCAAGGAGTACTCTTATTTTTCAAAGCCCTGATTCTAAATAACTTGTTAAAACCACGTCCTCATAACTTTCTCTCTCATTTGGCATGTCTAGGCAGCTATCCTTACCTCTTATTCTTCCATTCTTACTGTGCCGAAAATCACTTTAGAGTATCCTCATATTCTGGCTTCACCCAGCATCAGCAATTCCACATGGTTCACCATGGTCTAGAAAACAGAACTCAGATATTAGCTATCGGATCCAAATCAACATTAAATTTGCTTTTCAATTTTCACTTTGATGTGAACCTTCCCTTTGACAATCTGAAATAGATATAGCTATCAATCTATTTGCCACTTTGTTACAAGTTTTGCATGTATGTTGACAATTTCTCATTTGTGTCAAGGAACCATTCCATGTGCATGGGTATTGGCAGTAGTTTCTTAATATGCAAATAGAACCCAACTTGGACAAAATATTTCACTGAACATTCTTTTCAAATGAATGCACAAGACCTTTCTCAGCCGAAGGAAACAACCTCTCTTAGGCAACTGAAATCTACTCATTTAACAAATATTTATTGAGTGTCTACAATGTACAAAAGGCCTTGTAGGCACTGGGATACACTGTTTGACATGGCAGACATGCCTCTTGAAATAAATCTCCTCTCTCATGGAGCTTACATTGTAGTGGGAAACACACAATAAAAAAGAAAGACATAAATAAAGAATATTAATTTGAGATAAGGAAGATTGCAATGAAGAAAGAAAACAAAGTGATATACAGTGATTGGAGAAGTTTTCTGTTTATTTATACATTTATTTTTACCTTAATTTACAAATCTTAGATGCACACCGATTAAAAAAAAAAATCAGACCTCTCCCCCCAAATCTAATGAACACGGAAAGGAAACGTGGGAAAGTTTTTCTGAGGCAATAATAACTGAGCTGAGATCTGAAGTAGGAGGATTCATCTATAAGAAGGCCTGGTGAAAAGCTATCAGCAAAAGGAAATGGCAATCCAAGGGCATTGAGTGCATAGGAACATGGTGTACAGGTCCATCAAACAGAGGAAATGACAATGTAGTTAGGGTGAATTGAAAAAAGGATTGAGAGGTAGGAGGCAGGACTGTAGACACAGAGAGAGGCCAGAGCATAAAGGCTCTTGAAGGGTATAACAAGGCTATTGGCTATGTTCCAGTTACAGTGGGAGGCCATGGACAGGGTTGGATTAAGCCAGGCAGAGATACAGACTGATTTATGTTTTTTAAAAGCTGATTCTGTCTTCTGGCTAAAGGGTGGAGTATAGAAGAACAACAGTGAAAACAGGAGGCTTTTAGTAGTCCAGATGTGTGATGATGGTGGCTTAGGGCAGGATAATAATTGTAATGATGATGAAATTGAGGATTTCTTTCAGAATAAGTTGTTCAGAATTTCCAGAATTTGTTGATAAATTGGATTTGGGGAGTGAGGTAAAGCAGAATAAGTCCTATGTTTGGACTGGAATTTTGGGGTGTATGGTGGTGCCATTTACTGAGACAGGAAAGATTGCAGGTAGAGCATTTTTGGGGGAACTGGTTTTGATTTGGGAAAGTTAAGTATGATAGACCTAGGAAACAGTCACGTGGAAATGTCTAAAAGGACAACTTGCTTGTCCTCTCTCACAATGCACAACCCAACTTGTGGGTTAAGCTAGAGGTATGCAAGAAAGAAGCCAGACACCCAGCCAGTCCCAGATGCCTCAGTAATCAATCTGCAATTTTTCCTAAGAGTTGATTCAGGGGTTAAGGGCCCATGGTGGATACTCCTTGGATACCTATACTACATTCTAAGATGTGTCTGAATAGCTGTGGTTGGTAAAGGAAGTACTTTCCCAGAACAGAGTTAAATTTGGCCAAAAAACATTTCCAACTACATTTTCCACTTGGCATGTAGATAGAATATGGCATGGTATGAAGAAATAATACAATCTGGTTTGAAAATGTTTCTTAGGCATAGACATACTAAGGAGAAAAAGGTTTTTTTCTCCTTCAGATTCTGGTTCATAAATTTATAGTTCTTAGAATTAGGAGGATCTTAAAGAACAGGGGATTTAGCCCCTGATCTCAGACACACAAAGTACTAAGGCAGTTAATTCCTAGAAGAATCACTATTATCCACCCTATTATTATCACTACTAAATTCAGTAGTGATTTATTAATCATTACTCTATTTTTGTACTAGAGCTTTCTGCCTTTGAGAATTAGGCTTTTTCTTCAATCTTCTTACTTTATACATTCAGGTCCTCAAAGCCAATTTTCAGCTAAAAAATTAAGTGTAAATAAAAAATTCAGTAGAAATAAAACATTAAAACAATTTATAATCACCAGGATGCTGCCTCATATGCAAAGTGTGCTTTGGAGTTAAAAAAAAAAAATCCCTCTCCCTGCTCTAGTGTTTAAACATCTCCCCTGGGATATCATTTTGTTTTTTTTTAATTTTTAATAATTTATTTATATATTTATTTGAGAGACAGAGAGAGGGAGTGCACGTGCATGTGTGAGTGCGAGGAGAGGCAGAGGAAGGAGAAAGAGAATCCCAAGCAGAGTACATGTTGAGCCTGGAGCCCAATGCAAGGCTCTATCTCACGGCTGTGAGATCATGGCCCGAGCAGAAATCAAGAGTTGGATGCCTAACCAACTGAGCTATCCATGCACCCCTATTATTTTGCTTTTCTAACACAAAGGTGTTAATTTCTGGCCTATCTCATCTATATAAGAAAGACTAGAATTAATATGATTTTTGATGTTGCCCAGCCCTTTCAATTTATCAGATTATTTTATAATGGCCACCTCATTATATAGACTCATTCTTAAAACTGTCCTCTTACTGGTTGATGGGTCTGTTACCTTTCTGGAAGCTCCCCTGAGCTAAGTTCATCTATACTGTGTTCTCCCCCAAGCTGTAAATACCCTCTCCCCACCCAAGTCTATTTCCGGTCACCTCCTCTAAAGCTAGAGCAGGAATAACTGTGATACATTGAAACAAAGGAACCAAGGAAGTAGAATTTTTGAAAGCCTAGGAAGTAGCCACATCCTATAACAAAACTGAAAAATAATCACTACTGTCTACATTCAGACCGATACCACAAACTAAAAATGGGAGGGGCATTCGTTTCAATAACAATTTGCTGACAGGGTCTACCATTTCTTGTCATGAGCTATCTGTCCCATTTCTACATCAAAGTCCTGAAGGTTTTGTTTGCTGAGCCTTTCAAGGTAACATTGGAGCTGTGTTCTGTACAAAAACTAGCTCAACTCAGCTTGTGTTCTCTGAAAAAGTTAGCTCAACTTAGTTCAATTATTTCTTGCATTTGTACAAGACAACCTGATTCTCATAACTAGGCTTGTTTATTAAGAGACTTTGGAGAATCTCCCTTCTCAGCATCACTACTGCAAAACAAAGGTTGGAGATACATTACTTTTGCCTTAGTTCCTTAAGTCAATATTAAGAGTTGCACCCACCAGAAAAGAATATTCTCCTTATAGTTTAAATTGCCAACTTCAGAGAAATAATATACCAGATCCCCTTATATATTCAAGACCTACTTACTCTTTCTTCTATTTCCTCAACCAGAAGGGGCTCTACACTTCCTAATAAAGTAACATCTACATTAACACTAATGTAGAAATCAATTATAGTCTTTGATTTCTTTTATAATCATCTACTCCCTTTGGTCTTCTGCCAGGACACGGCTCTTTTTAAGAATCTTATATTTCAACTGGAGAATGTAATTTTTAACAATTTTAAATAATTTAGAACAATTATAATTTTAATAATTTTTAAACAAATTTTAACAAGTTTTAATAATTTTACATTTCAACTGGAGAATTTAAGGCAGATTTAACTTTTTAGTATACTACGTATACTCAATAATCTCTTGAAAAGCTTAAGTGCACTTACTAGAATTCTGTTTCTTTCTTTCCCCTTCCCCCTTTTTGTCTTTTCTGAGATGCAGGATTTGGCAATGTAGAAGAAAATAAGTACTGATCAGGTACAGGCTAGGGAGCCAGGTAGAACCAGCTTTGTGATTTTGGTCTAATTATTCCATTTTTTCTTTTGATCTAGTTATTCAGCTTTTCAGAGTTTGAGCCTGGAAATGGATATCTTATGGAATGCTATGAAGATCAGAAGAGATGTGGAATGTCTTAAGCCCAGTGCCTGATGGATTGATTACACAAGTAAAGTTTGATTGATTATAAAGTTTGTATATTCCAAGTTTCTATGGGGTCTTGGAGTTGGATACCAGTTCACAAAAACTACTGTTTCCTGACTTTCCCTGATAATAAGAATTTCTTATGGTATTGGTTAAAAATACAATTTCCCTGGTCTCATTCCAGACCTGATGAATCAGAAACTCCAAGCCTTGAGAGCTAAGGAATTAAAAATTTTACAAACATTCCTTGTGATTCATATTATCAGAAAAGTTGTAGAAACACTGATATAGACTATCAGTGCCTATTATGCTCTCTAATTAAAGGCAACATTTGAAATAAAATAACATTATTTTAATAATTTGATTTTTTTAATGTGTGGAGCTTCATTATGCTACAGTTAAATTACACAGCTGAGTATTTTAACTGAAATTTACATCAAATATTTAAACTTCTAGTCCATCTGTCTTTTTCTCTGTAGATTCCACAAAACAGTCAAACTTCATTCTCATTAGTGAATAAAAATGATACTGCTTTTGGCTTTAACTAATTTTAAGTAGTAATGTACAGCACTACATAAATGTTTACTATGATATTACTAACTTATAATTATAATAATAATGGTCTACACCTACAAGACTTGACTTGTGAGTTAACCAGTTAGCTTTATTTTTTTTTACTTTTTTTTTTAGTTTCCCCATAACAGTATTCCTTGTTTTTGCACCACACCCAGTGTTCCATGCAATCCGTGCCCTTTCTAATACCCACCACCTGGCTCCCCCAACCTCCCACCCCTCAATATGCTTTTAGTAAGTCTAAGCCTCATAGAGGCAAAGCTTGAAATATTACACATAAAAACAGCACAAATATCCCTTCTTGCTTGAACCTACATTACTTTTTATTCTTTTTTCGGATGGGCCTCTAGCTAAGTCCACAATTTAGGTTATGTTTTGCAATGTATTTTTAGGTATTTGGCATCCAGATATACATTTAATATTTCATTCAAAGATAACGTTGTGGATGGTGACTATTCTC